CTGAACTAGAACTGAACTAGAACTGAACTAGAACTGAACTAGAACTGAACTAGAACTGAACTAGAACTGAACTAGAACTACTGAACTAGAACTGAACTAGAACTGAACTAGAACTGAACTAGAACTGAACTAGAACTGAACTAGAACTGAACTAGAACTGAACTAGAACTGAACTAGAACTGAACTAGAACTGAACTAGAACTGAACTAGAACTGAACTAGAACTGAACTAGAACTGAACTAGAACTGAACTAGAACTGAACTACAACTGAACTACAACTGAACTAGAACTGAACTAGAACTGAACTAGAACTGAACTAAAACTGAACTAGAACTGAATTAGAACTGAACTAGAACTGAACCAGAATTGAACTACAACTGAACTAGATCAGAACTAGAACTGAACTGGAACTGAACTAGAGCTGAACTAGAACTGAACTAGAACTGAACTAGAACTGAACTAGAACTGAACTAGAACTGAACTAGAACTGAACTAGAACTGAACGAGAACTGAACTAGAACTGAACTAGAACTGAACTAGAACTGAACTAGAACTGAACTGAACTAGAACTGAACTAGAACTAGAACTGAACTAGAACTGAACTAGAACTGAACTAGAACTGAACTAGAACTGAACTAGAACTGAACTAGAACTGAACTAGAACTGAACTAGAACTGAACTAGAACTGCTAAATATAAAATTTCGTTTCAAATTTAATTTTTGTAGTGTGAACTCGGTTTCGTCATTGTCATATCGCAAAGCCAATTCACCTTTTTTTATTCATATTCGTTTTGTACTCAATTTAAACGTCATTGTGTAGTCTTTCGATCACCAGTCGTTATTATTATTATTTTCTTTTCTTTTGTATAAAACCTTAGTGAGTCTGTTGTTTGTCTGTATGAATGTCGCGCGTCTGTCTCTGCTCACTGTCATTAACGTTTAAATGAGTACGAATGTATGACGAGTATTCGTTCGTTCTTTCTTTCTAAAATACATGTATTTTTATTGTTGTATTCATAAAGTGTTTTAACTTTGTTTTTATTGTCGTTTTCTTTGTTTTGATTAGGTGTCCCATCCATTAGTTTGTGTTTTTTTTAATGTCTGAAAATATCTTGCTTGTTCGAATTCGCATTCGAATAAATGCAAACATATGTATGTATTTATGTATGTGTATGTATGGAGATGTGTATCTGTGCGTGTAGTTGGGTGTTTTTTTTTTTTTTTTTGAATTCATGTATCTCTTTGGCCCATTTAAGTTTATGATTTTGTGCTAAAAACTTGTGGATGTAGGATATAAGCTGATTTGCAAGAATCTCTTTCGATGACACAGACAAAGTTGAATGCACGACTTCTGGCTGTTGGACTGACAGTTTTTAACTGAAAATTTTGCCAGCGTGTTTCTCACTAGTGAACCAATGAGACATTTTTGTATTAATTGACAAGAAAATAAATTTTGCACTCACATATTTTCCACTTGTTCTTTGGAATTCAGAAAAAGGCGAAAACGTGATTAATTCGTTTAATGTGAGAAAAATAAACGACACTGTAGATCTCGGAACATAATGTGTGTGTTTTTGTGTAATCGAAAATTTTTATAATACGTAATTTTTAATATAATTGGGAAATGTGTATTTTTCTGAATTTTCAAAAATTATGCATAAATATTGTTTTAAATTTATGATTTTTCTTAATAATGCGAAATTATGTCTCACATATGGTTGCAGATTCTGGGGACAATATGTATGTCAGATGCGCCATCAGATGTGAATTTATTTCGAAGAAAATCTAATGAAATCATGATCGTAGATCTCCAAAATATAAACCCATACATTGAATTTAAGTGTCATATGAAAGGCCTGCTGAAATTACAGTACTCCTATCCATTGATTATCGATAAAGTTCCTATTCTTTGCTCGAATATCTTTCAGGGTTTACTCCTAGTTTCTAGGATTTGAGCTGATAACAAAAATATTGTGTATGTGTTGGTGTTCCATGTACCATCAGATGGTTTAGAGGGATTTTGAGTTGTATCCGAGGTTTAGTCGGATGGGGTGATGGTTGGAGTGACGGAGGAGATTGTTTGGCTAAACTGATGTTTGGCGAGACGGAGTGAGATGGTAGCGGAGTTGTTAACACCTTAATCTTTAATTTATCGGCGATTTTCCTTCATGGTTGGGAGTTTACTCTAAAACATGCTCAACTTATCACAATAAGTCTTTGTGGCCACTGAAATAAGTCTGGCTAATTAATATAGATCTGTGTTTTCGAACTGCCAATTACGCCCCCCCCCCCTCGGTGCTGTTGCCGAAACAACAGAAGCCATCTCAGTGAGATGGTAGCGGAGTTGTTAACACTTTAATCTTTAATTTATCGGCGATTTTCCTTCATGGTTGGGAGTTTACTCTAAAACATTCTCAACTTATCACAATAAGTCTTTGTGGCCACTGAAATAAGTCTGGCTAATTAATATAGATCTGTGTTTTCGAACTGCCAATTACGTCCCCACCTCGGTGCTGTTGCCGAAACAACAGAAGCCATCTCAGCAGTGTGGTTTGGCGACTTTAAGAGATCCAGGTATGCACTGGGTTGAGTCTTTAGATGATGAGAATGTTTGTAGGAACATGGCATTCCTCAAAGCATCAATAGGGTGTTTTCACCTGATTTTGGGTCCGTCCCTTCTATCGACTCTAACCTTTGTCAAGGTTAGATTGAGCTTGACTCATGATACCTGCCATTCCCCAACGGGACTACTATGGCAAGAGATTAGATAGCTCGAGTACTCGAACAAAGTGCACAGACCATATGGACCGGAAATTCCATATACGTAAATTGCCACCTGCGTGTAAGACACACAATGGGGCGGTGGTGAGTCGTTGCAGAAGCTCACTCAGTGGTTGAAAAATACCACCGTGAAATAGGCCAACACGCTAGATGTTCACGTAAAGCACTCGATATTTTCCGAAATTGCACCTAATTTCCGAGATTGTACTTTGCGATCTCCCGATGAGTTGAACGCATAACTCTCTCTCTCTCTCTCTCTCTCAAAGGGCTTTCTATCCAGAATGCTGGGAATAAGCAAAGCAAAGTTTGCTATTGAGAAGACAACACAAGTCTTTTAAAAAGAAGACCTTACTATATGCAGAAGATGAAGCTAAACGCTGAAAGATAGCGTTACGATCTATGCAGTTCCTTTCAAAAACGTATGTCCAACCATCTATGGTCGATAACATGTAACTCCCAACGGGCTCTCATTTTCCATAGAGGAACCATATAGATATAGATATTATATCTCTTACCAAAGTCTTTATCTAGAGTAAAACTTTAGAACATATTCTTTGTCATTAGCAGAGTTTTGTCGAAATTATATCGAAATATCTTGAGAGCGATATTATTCCAGATATTACATACCTCAGGAGTACAGATTAGAAAATTATAAGGAATTACATCCAGTAAACTGAGACCTTCCACAATCACTATATAAGGGTGTTCCCACCAACATTTTCCATGTAAACGATAGCGGCTTAGGGATATTTCTTCCGATCTGTACATTCTCCTAACCTTAATTGCGTAATCAAATTTGAAATCCATTAAGAGTTCCTTCATCCAGATAGCGGGCATTTAGGTGCGTGAAATTTCAAATTTACTTTTTTAATCCTTCCTTTCCATTCAACAATTGTTAACTTACTAAATAACAATTTCACCTATTTAACAGCCACTACCATTCAAAAAGAATTTTCAAATGATTTCAAAACTTTTTGGAATATGACCTACCACAATGCTTACGCCGGTGTGTGCAATCCCTGTGTGTTTTGCAAGTAGGTCAGCTAACAAAATTTTGAAAATTCAATCAAAACATTTTGACCCTAACCCAAATACGGTTTGTTGTTGTTGTTTTTTTATTATTATTATATTGTTTAATTTTATAGTTTAAAGTACTTCATCAATTACATAAAATATTTTATTTAGGCAGTTTGATGACATTAACTATAAATTGTTTTTGTTTAAAACATACTCACTCTCTTTTGCTCCCTCAGCAAGAGAGCGTTTAGAGATTAATAAAACTTTAAAATCACGCTCGCCCCCAAAAAATATTATAATGTTTATAGACGTAAAAATTATACGTGTTTTGCATTTAATTAATACATTTTTTTTTAATTTTCACAAAATTCACACAAACAATTTTTAAGGTATAGCAGTTGTTATTTGTTTATTTATTTAATAGACACATGATTTATGTTACAATTTTTGTTGTTGTTTAAATAATAAAATTTCAAATAAGTTCATTAAACTTAAAATTAAATAAAAAAACCCTATTCTTAAGTTGTAAAATTTTTTGCTTTGAATTGCAAAAGAAAATTTTGTCCAGTGTAGTGTAATGTTTATAATTTAGGCTTTAAGGTTGCCATATTGTGATTGACAGGTGTGTATAGTACAAAGTGTTTACACATTGCCAACTAAGATTCTGTTTTGGACTCAATAGTTATGAAAATTACTTAATAATTTATAGATTTAATGGTGTTGGTATTAACATTCACGCCAATTTTATTTTAATTACATAATTTTGTTGTAAAATGATTGTTTAAAAAAATTGCCACCACTTTGTAGTGACTTTTTTTGGCAACACTTAATGAAGCAACAACAACATTTATATACACACTCACACTGACCGTTATATGTATTCCGAAATGCCGGGAACATTGCGTTATTAACAACAATTCGTGCTTACATGGTTGCATTTGCTAGAAAAACAAAACAACAAACAAACTTAAAAACTTTGTTCGTATGATCGAGTAGGGCGGTTAATTTAAATTCAAAACACATTCTCGGCTTAATCGTAATTGTTTTATTTTTAAGTATATACGATTTGAGTACTGCAAACAATTTGAAAATTATGCAAAAAATTAAAAACCCCACTATGCTGAAATTCCATATTGACAAAAATATGTATGAAGTGCAGACAGTTTAGTACGTCCGTCCGTTTGTCCATTCAATAAAAACTATATTCAATGAAATTGAAAATGAAAACGAAACCGATAAACTACCAAAAAATATGTAATAATACAACAACAGCAAAATGAAAAATTAAAAACAAAAAAAATCCAAAAATTAAACTTCCGTTGTGGTATAAAATCATTGTGCGTTCCCAGAAAAAGTATCACATTGCATTCATACCTCAAACAATTAACAACTATATCATCAACTCAGGATTTATAACCAAAGTAAAAAACTATTCAATATGAAATTATTCATTGTATTGGCCTGTACATTGGCGTTGGTAGCTGCCAGACCCGAACCACCAAAGAGCCGTTATGGTCCACCACCAGCTCCACAAAAGGAATACTTGCCACCCAATAAACCAGCTGAACAATATTTACCTCCTTCGGCTGCCCAACAACAGCAACCTGCTCAACCCTTACCTGTCTATGGTGCTCCCGCTCCCTTCTATGGTCCTCCCGCTGAAGCTGTGGTAACCAAGAATGTCTATGTTCATGTACCACCAGAGGAGCCTGAGGCCTACCCACCACCAGCTCCCATCCAAACGGCAGTACCCAAGAAACACTACAAAATCATCTTCATTAAGGCTCCCAATCCACCCACTCCCATCCGTCAAGTTGTTCCTCCTCCCGTTCAAGATGAACACAAAACTTTGGTCTATGTTTTGGTTAAGAAACCCGAACAACAAGAACCTTTGGTTATTCCCTCTCCTGCTCCTACTGAACCCAGCAAACCTGAGGTCTATTTCATCAAATACAAGCAACAACAAAAACCTGCCGAACAATACGGTCCTCCAGCCGCTCCTGCCTCCGAATATGGTCCTCCCGCTGAGAAATTCTAAATCTAAGTTTGGTTTAGTTATTCATAACCTCATATTCTCACTAAAAATCATTTCACGTCATTCCTCTTAGCGGAATGTGTAAATATTTCCTTTTAACGAAATCATTACTTTAAAATTACGTCGTCGTCCATCCATTTTAATCAGTTGTTATTTAGTACAATGTTGTTAAGTTTGTTGAATAGTTAAAACGATTTTTATTAAATAAATAAAAAATAAATAAATTATTTTATATAAAAAAAATCTTTGGACTTTTGATTTGCAACAGCTAAGCGAAATAATACTTAAAGTATCCGAACGAATCTATATAAATATTAAGAAACTTATCTTTTTGTGATCAAATCGAGAAAAAAAACTTAAAATCTGTTTTCTAATAACAATCTATTCTTAATACTTTCTAAAAGTTCTGAAAGAAAATGTTTAATTTCTAGCTGATGATTTCAGAAACCTTTAAAATTCTTTCCTAAATTGGAATCCCAAAGTTTCGAAATATACCCAAAGAAAAAGTGCGACTTTACAACGATATTATAATGTCAGACTTATCGATTTGATTATTTGGCCAGATTCGTTAAGTTAATTTAATAGAAACGAACGTTGATATCTTTTGACTTTTTAGATTTTACTAATAGGTGTCTAATCTTGAATTCTTCTAGATTTTAGCCAAACCATAGTTTAAACCATTAGCTGACCAGATAAAGAGTAGTCTCTACTTTCCCACTGTAACATTAAGTCACCAATGAGATTAGGTTAGGTTACTCTAATGACAGTTTCTTTTCAATTTTCTGTAAATTTTCACACGATTCTTTAATCAAAATCAATATTCTATTACATATCGTCATAGCCGATAACATTAGCCGTTGATTCGTTCGAATCCAGACACAGTTCATTGACCTGAAAACAGGCTGGATTCAGTAATTTAACTTGTGTACTACCAAAAGTTGCTCTTACCCTAACTGTTGCCCCATTCGAGACTTCATATGTATTTGAGATTTACTCCCAAGAATTAGTTGTGTTCTTGGTCGGTTTCTTTTACAGTCGAGCGATATACTTCGAGTCATTGAGAACAGAGTTGGACTCTGTTTACTTTCGTAATTGTCTCTAAATTGGATGTTCCTCAACAGATTATCTTGGTGATATATTGTCACTTTAACTACTGTTTTTGTACTTGTACTGAATAAAACCCAAAAATCGGTTAGTTTTTGAAAAGGTTTTAAGGTCGATGCTCTTCTTATAGCAAAAGATATGAACTCATATCTGATCTCTACAACCTTCTAATTATATTTCAGAAATTTTTTTAAATATAAATGGAAAATTGTGAAATTCAAAGGAAAATAGAATTAGAAATACAAATGGAAATTTAAAAATTTTAAAGATTTTGAAAACAATTCAAAAATTTTCTGAAATCTAATTAGAAATTTCAAAAGAAATAATTACAAATATTGTATTAAAGTAATTAAATTAAAACACTTTCAATACTTTTTTCATATTTTTTAAACTTTATTTCTCCACATTTAATTCTTTTTTTATTTTTGTTTGTAATTACTACTTTTTATTTGTGTTAAACATTTAAATTCTTGTTTTTTTTTTTGTATTTTTTTCTCAATTAATTTTACCAACTAAACAGAATAATTTTAATATTATTACTATACTAAATATTAATAATTTTATCGAATTTTTTTCTTTTTTTTTTTTTTGATTAAAAACTATTTTATTTTGTATAATTTTAATAATGCAGGTGTTAATAATATATTTTGTTGTTTTTTTTTATATTTCATAATATTTTATTTATTAATATTAAGTTAATATTTCATATTACAATTTAAAAATAATCATTTTATTTAAATAACAATTTTCCCCAGCAGTCTAAACGTTTGCCAATATGCGGGGCAGAATGCAACTCTGTTCCTAAAAAAGCAGCGTTGATTTTTTTCGATTGGCAGTGTTAGACTAATTGGAAAAAATTCTTAATGTCTTTGTTGTTTTAAACTCAGTTCTTTTGCGCATTTTTAGTGCTTAAGTTGTTGTTGTTGGGTTTTAGTTTTTTTTTGTTAAATAATAATTAAAATCGAAATTAAATTATTATAAGCGAGGACAATTCAAGTTAAATATAAATGTTTGAAATTAATTTTTTTTAATTATATTTTTTTTTCTCAAAATTAAGCAATGAAAATTATATGGTATTTTAAAAACTATAATACTTAAATCATTAATAATTATATATATTTAAATAGGTCTAGTTTTAGACGTGTTAGCTTAACTTAGTTTAAAGTGATGTGTGGTTAAGTTTAAACCCTTTTAAGATTAAACTAAATTTCTTAAAAATTAAAACAAAATGTTTAAATTTAGAATACTCTGAATTTTTTTATATTTTAATTAATCATAGTAGATCCGTTCTTGTTTCATACTTCTTTTTACTGAAATAGCATTAAATCAGAGTTCAGTTTAGATATCTCAAAAATGTATTCTAAAGGAAACCTTTGTTTCTTTTTTAGGAAGTTTTTTTTTAACAAATCCAAAGAACCTCTCCATATTGGTCACAGGTACTGGTTATAACAGGTCTTTCGTTATCTAATATAAATATTAAGTTGATGCAGTATTCAAACCCGCCTTTAGAAATACTCTGTTATTTGAAATTTTGAACTTTTTTTTAGGAATATACAATATGATTTATAACAAAATCTCGTAAAAATAGAGACCACAAATGTTTTCACTTTATCCATATCGGAACCTCATAATCTTCGGAGACCCTACTTCTACAACAAATGCAACCGGTTGTGGAGAGTTGGTTGCTACTGTAACCCAGTTATGTTTGGCAACTGCAACCTCAAAAGCTGCATGAGCCCGTATTGGCTTAAGGTCGATAAAACCCCCTTTTTGGGATTATCACGAAGTGATAGTGAAGTGGTGATCGCAAACGACAACTCTTCATATTAAACCCGTAGCAAAAAAGTATTTTGGCTACTCTATATAGTCTAGACCATATGGTTCAAACTACAGTCTAGACCAATCTAGTACAATGTGTTGTCCTTGTCCACACAATAGTCAAGTCTATAATATACACTATGCACTTCACTATGTCCAAGCGTATAGTCTAGAATATAGTCCAGTCAATAATCTGTAGTGCATTCTATAGTCTAGACTTTAGTCTAGACTTTAGTCAAGTCTATAGTTTAGACTTTAATCAAGTCTTTAGTCTAGACTTTAGTCAAGTCTTTAGTCTAGACTTTAGTCAAGTCGATACTCTTGTCTTTAGTCAAGTCGATACTCTTGACTTTGGTCAAGTCTATAGTCTAGACTTTGGTCAAGTCTATAGTCTTGATTTTAGTCAAGACTATAATCTTAACTTTAGTCAAGTCTATAGTCTAGACTTTAGTCAAGTCTTTAGTCTAAACCTTAGTCAAGTCTATAGTCTTGACTTTAGTCAAGTCTATAGTCTAGACTTAAGTCAAGTCTATAGTTTAGACTTAAGTCAAGTCTATAGTTTAGACTTAAGTCAAGTCTATAGTCTCAACTTAGTCAAGTATATAGTTTAGACTTTAGTCAAGTCTATAGTCTAGACTTTTTTCAAGTTTATAGTCCTTACTAAAGTATAGACTATAGGCTTTACTAAAGTCTAGACTCTACACTATATACTTTACTAAAGTCTAGACTATAGATTTGACTAAAATCTGGGCCCAAATTATGGCATACGATATCGATCGAAATCTCTACATATTTAGATTCTGTTAAGATTTCGATCAATATCGTATGCCATAATTTGGGCCCAGACTTTAGCCAAATCTATAGTCTAGACTTTAGTAGGCAACAGACAAGTCAATAGTGCAGTCTATAAACTGGACTCTGGATCCGTAAGAAAAGGGTGTGCAGACTAAGCATTAAAACTTTCAATGCTATAATATAAAGTCTGTAATATAGACTATAGTCCAATCTATAATCTAGGCAACAGTACAGTCTATTGTTGAGATTTTAAGCTAATCTACAGTTCAGATTATAGGCCAATGGAGAATATAGTCCAGTCTATAGTCTAGACAATAGACAAGTCAATAGTGCAGTCCATAAACTGGACTCTGAATACATAGGAAAAGGGTGTGCGGGCTAAGCATTAAAAGGCAATAAGGGTAATAAAAACACAATATAGCAAGAGTCCATTATAAGGCCAAAAATTTTGGGTATTAAAAGCATAAATTCGGGACTACCGGAAAGTAAATGGTTTTGTTTATTAGTCATGAAACTTCCCAAAAATCGTACTATTATAGTATGTATGCAATACATTATAAGATCTTTGATATATATATAAAAATTAAGAGCAGATTGATGTTGTTATACCACTACAAAGTTGGGGGTACAAAAAATGGCAGGCACTTAACACAACGGCCCATATTTTCTTAAATTTAAACAACTACATATAAATATTTACTATTAATTCAATTAAACAATAGTAATTTTTTGCAAAAAATATAGATTTTGAGCAACTTATTATAACTATAAATGGTCACTAATTTCAGAATAGAGGAAAAAACAATACTACCCATTACTCGCTGGGTATTAAATAAGATATTTGTAAATCCGGAATATTTAGTTTATCATGCACAAAACTAAAACTAATCAGGGTTTGTAATGAAATCTAAACAAAGTTAAGTTATATTTTGTTTGACTGTTGAGACCAGAAACGTGTTGGTCTTCATAAAGCTATATATGTATAGTAAGTATTTTTCACAAAATCCATTTAATTATCAAAACTTTTTCGAAATTCTCTCTTTGCGAAATTATAATACTTGAAATTTGAATAGTCTTATAAATTAGTATCATCAGCTGGAATAAAGATAAATGCTATATAAAATCTATAAGTTCATAGGTTTTTGGTATTGGTAGCAACAACTAAATTATATATTTTACTGCAAACTACTTTTTAACAATTTCAACTAGTTTTTAAAACATATGGAATGGGTTTACAAAATATTTTTTTGCTGCTGTTGTTCTAAAAATTTATATAACTAAATACGCGCAACATGCTAATTACTAAAATCAATAACTAAATTTCGAATAATACCAAATATTATATGTTTCTTAAATAAATTATTCGTTCATAATTTAAGATACTGATGATGTATCCTCATTATTATCATTATCTTCATATAGTTTACGTTCGCGACAATCTAAAATGGCCCAAACTAATAACGGCAAACAGCCGAGGACCATACAGGAGCCCATACAATAAAATACAATAGCATAACTGCCTGACAAATCTCTTAGGAATCCCGCTAAAGGTGGCACTGATATGGCACCAATACTTTGAAACATGCGCACTAAACCATAACTGGAACTTATGCGATCGGTGCCGAAGATATCCGCCAACAAAACTGGCATCAAAACATACCAGCTGCCTAAACAGAAACCATAAATGGCAGCCGATAGACCCACCAGATAAATGGTGTATTCCGATGGTATGGTAAGTACAGCAATGCCAGCTCCTAGTATACTAAATTATAACAGTAATTAGTTAAATTATAGTTAATTTAAAATAATCGTATATTTACCAAAATATATAAGTCTTTCTGCGATCGAATAATTGTAAATCTGAGAGCCATCCTAGACCTAAGCGACCAACAAGATCTAAAACAGCACTAACGGTTACCAAATAGCCAGCTTCGCTTTTATTATAACCTGCAAAAGAAGTTTGGAAAAAATATGTTAATAAGAGGAAATTAGGAAAAATAATTAAGATATATAAAACTCAAAACTTGGAAATTTTTGGACTGGACTATAGATTAGTATTTCCTAGCTCAGACTCTATACTATAGTCCAGTCCACAGTTATTTTCAAGACAAGTCCAGTCAAAAGTCCAGTCTATAGTGTAGTCTATAGGCTAGTCTTAATTAAGTCTACAACCCTAGTCTATATTCTAGTCAATAGTCTGGTTAATTGTCAAATCTAGTCCATAATTTAATCTATAGACTAGACTATAGGACTAGTCTAGTGTATAGTCTAGTCTAATCTATAGTCTATAGTCTAGTCTATAGTCTAGTCTATAGTCTAGTCTATAGTCTAGTCTATAGTCTATAGTCTAGTCTAGTCTAGTCTAGTCTATAGTCTAGTCTATAGTCTAGTCTATAGTCTAGTCTATAGTCTAGTCTATAGTCTAGTCTATAGTCTAGTCTATAGTCTAGTCTATAGTCTAGTCTATAGTCTAGTCTATAGTCTAGTCTATAGTCTAGTATAGTCTATAGTCTAGTCTATAGTCTAGTCTAGTCTAGTCTATAGTCTAGTCTATAGTCTAGTCTATAGTCTAGTCTAGTCTATAGTCTAGTCTATAGTCTAGTCTATAGTCTAGTCTATAGTCTAGTCTATAGTCTAGTCTATAGTCTAGTCTATAGTCTAGTCTATAGTCTAGTCTATAATCTAGTCTATAGTCTAGTCTAGTCTAGTCTATAGTCTAGTCTATAGTCTAGTCTATAGTCTAGTCTATAGTTTAGTCTATCTAGTCTAGTCTATAGTCTAGTCTAGTCTAGTCTATAGTCTAGTCTATAGTCTAGTCTATAGTCTATAGTCTAGTCTTTAGTCTAGTCTATGGTCTTGCCTATAGTCTAGTCTATAGTCTTGCCTATAGTCTAGTCTATAGTCTAGTCTATAGTCTAGTCTATAGTCTAGTCTATAGTCTAGTCTATAGTCTAGTCTATAGTCTAGTCTATAGTCTAGTCTATAGTCTAGTCTATAGTCTAGTCTATAGTCTAGTCTATAGTCTAGTCTATAGTCTAGTCTATAGTCTAGTCTATAGTCTAGTCTATAGTCTAGTCTATAGGTGCCTAGTCTATAGTCTAGTCTATAGTCTATCTAGTCTAGTCTATAGTCTAGTCTATAGTCTAGCTATAGTCTAGTCTATAGTCTAGTCTATAGTCTAGTCTATAGTCTAGGTCTAGAGTCTTAGTCTATAGTCTAGTCTATAGTCTAGTCTATAGTCCTAGTCCTATAGTCTAGTCTATAGTCTAGTCTATAGTCTAGTCTATAGTCTAGTCTATATCTAGTCTATAGTCTAGGCTATAGTCTAGTCTATAGTCTAGTCTATAGTCTAGTCTATAGTCTAGTCTATAGTCTAGTCTATAGTCTAGTCTATAGTCTAGTCTATAGTCTAGTCTATAGTCTAGTCTATAGTCTAGTCTATAGTCTAGTCTATAGTCTAGTCTAGAGTCTAGTCTATAGTCTAGTCTATAGTCTAGTCTATAGTCTAGTCTATAGTCTTCTATAGTCTAGTCTATAGTCTAGTCTATAGTCTAGTCTATGTCTAGTCTATAGTCTAGTCTATAGTCTAGTCTATAGTCTAGTCTAGTCTATAGTCTAGTCTATAGTCTAGTCTATAGTCTAGTCTATAGTCTAGTCTATAGTCTAGTCTATAGTCTAGTCTATAGTCTAGTCTATAGTCTAGTCTATAGTCTAGTCTAGTCTATAGTCTAGTCTATAGTCTAGTCTATAGTCTAGTCTATAGTCTAGTCTATAGTCTAGTCTATAGTCTAGTCTATAGTCTAGTCTATAGTCTAGTCTATAGTCTAGTCTATAGTCTAGTCTATAGTCTAGTCTATAGTCTAGTCTATAGTCTAGTCTATAGTCTAGTCTATAGTCTAGTCTATAGTCTAGTCTATAGTCTAGTCTATAGTCTAGTCTATAGTCTAGTCTATAGTCTAGTCTATAGTCTAGTATATAGTCTAGTCTATAGTCTAGTCTATAGTCTAGTCTATAGTCTAGTATATAGTCTAGTCTATAGTCTAGTCTATAGTCTAGTCTATAGTCTAGTCTATAGTCTAGTCTATAGTCTAGTCTATAGTCTAGTCTATAGTCTAGTCTATAGTCTAGTCTATAGTCTAGTCTATAGTCTAGTCTATAGTCTAGTCTATAGTCTATTGTCTAGTCTATAGCCCAGTCTATAGTCTAGTCTATAGTTTAGTCTATAGTTGTCTATAGTCTAGTCTATAGTCTGGTCCATAGTCTAGTCTATAGTCTGGTCCATAGTCTAGTCCATAGTCTAGTCTATAGTCTAGTCTATAGTCTGGTCCATAGTCTAGTCTATAGTTTAGTCTATAGTCTAGTCTATAGTATAGTCTATAGTCTAGTCCATAGTCTAGTCTATAGTCTAGTCTATAGTCTAGTCTATAGTCTAGTCTATAGTCTAGTCTATAGTCTAGTCTATAGTCTAGTCTATAGTCTAGTCTATAGTCTAGTCTATAGTCTAGTCTATAGTCTAGTCTATAGTCTAGTCTATAGTCTAGTCTATAGTCTAGTCTATAGTCTAGTCTATAGTCAAGTCTATAGTTTAGTCTATAGTCTAGTCTATAGTCAAGTCTATAGTCAAGTCTATAGTCAAGTCTATAGTCTAGTCTATAGTCTAGTCTATAGTCTAGTCTATAGTTTTGTCTATAGTCTAGTCTATAGTCTAGTCTATAGTCTAGTCTATAGTCTAGTCTATTGTCTAGTCTATAGTCTAGTCTATAGTCTAGTCTATAGTCTAGTCTATAGTCTAGTCTATAGTCTAGTCTATAGTCTAGTCTATAGTCTAGTCTATAGTCTAGTCTATAGTCTAGTCTATAGTCTAGTCTATAGTCTAGTCTATAGTCTAGTCTATAGTCTAGTCTATAGTCAAGTCTATAGTTTAGTCTATAGTCTAGTCTATAGTCAAGTCTATAGTCAAGTCTATAGTCAAGTCTATAGTCTAGTCTATAGTCTAGTCTATAGTCTAGTCTATAGTTTTGTCTATAGTCTAGTATATAGTCTAGTCTATAGTCTAGTCTAGTCTAGTCTAGTCTATAGTCTAGTCTATAGTCTAGTCTATAGTCTAGTCTATAGTCTAGTCTATAGTCTAGTCTATAGTCTAGTCTATAGTCTAGTCTATAGTCTAGTCTATAGTCTAGTCTATAGTCTAGTCTATAGTCTAGTCTATAGTCTAGTCTATAGTCTAGTCTATAGTCTAGTCTATAGTCTAGTCTAGTCTTGCCTATAATCTAGTCTATAGTCTAGTCTATAGTCTAGTCTATAGTCTAGTCTATAGTCTAGTCTATAGTCTAGTCTATAGTCTAGTCTATAGTCTAGTCTATAGTCTAGTCTATAGTCTAGTCTATAGTCTAGTCTATAGTCTAGTCTATAGTCTAGTCTATAGTCTAGTCTATAGTCTAGTCTATAGTTTGGTCTATAGTCTAGTCTATAGTCTAGTCTAGTCTAGTCTAGTCTAGTCTAGTCTAGTCTAGTCTAGTCTAGTCTAGTCTAGTCTAGTCTAGTCTAGTCTAGTCTAGTCTAGTCTAGTCTAGTCTAGTCTAGTCTAGTCTAGTCTGGTCTATAGTCTAGTCTATAGTCTATAGTCTATAGTCTAGTCTATAGTCTAGTCTATAGTCTAGTCTATTGTCTAGTCTATAGTCCAGTCTATAGTCTAGTCTATAGTCTAGTCTATAGTCTAGTCTATAGTTTAGTCTATAGTCTAGTCTATAGTTTAGTCTATAGTCTAGTCTATATTCTAGCCTATATTATAGTATATCGAGTCTACAGTTTAGTGTTTTATTTGTATTTAATAAAATTTGGATAAGAAATTTTCCCAATTTCGAAAAACATTCTGAATAATATTGATGTATATATTACGTAATAGGTATATTATCATCTAATTTTACTTACGGATACGAAGTCATTTTGGAACCAAGGTCTATTATCACTCTGGGGCTAAAACCCCAATAAATTCCAAATCTCCCTTTACATTCTAATCATTCACCATCATACTTACCAATTGATATAACATGAGCGGGTAAATAATACAACATATAAGGACATCCCACCGACATTAGGGTCACCGACAAGCACATCAGTATAAAAGTTGGATCCTTTAATAAACTAATATCCAAATAAATTTCGATCCTTTCAATACAGGTAAGAGGTGCATCATCAACATCTTCCTCTATGGAATTGGCACCCACTAAACTGCCATCTTGTTCCTTTTCCAATGATTTGATTTCACTCATATTACTGGCAGGTGTGGGAATTTCCATACTTTTACTGAGACCACGTGTAACAACGGCGGGTGGTGAGAGTGGCTTTTCCAAATGCGCCTGTATTTTAGAGATAATTTCATCGTTGGCAAAAACATTACGGCGACGACGAGAACCACGATTTGAATCGGTGCCCGAGTTCTTGCGATACACCCATGTAGAGGTGGTGCTTAAGTCTTCGACTGAGTGCATAATGCCAGAACTGCGTACTTTTTTAATGGGTTTGATAAAGGTGGTCTCGCCTATAATGTCCTTAACCTCATCATCGCTCTCTTGAGCACAATTAGGAACAGATTTTTCAGAAGCTAAAGAAGGAAATGTTATAATACATATAAAGCTACTCTGATATTAAGATACTCTACTTACCATTATATCTATTATTATAGTAATCATTTAAACGATTTTTCGACTCTTCCATAAATAAATGTTCTATGAACTTAGTATTCAAACCGTCATCACAAGTATCCAAATAGGTTGAATTAGTTAACATATCAATGTTGCTAGGATTTATATCATTCAGAGGCTTGGTAGCATCCTCCTCTTCGATATTCTTATCATCGTCGGTATGAAATGATTCCAAAGGTCTGTAGAGCAGAGCTGATATACACACGTCCAGCATACAGAAACCCAATATTAAAATGGTGCCATGAAAACCAAAATTCTCGGCTAAATGTTTGATGAGTACTGGCAAAATAAAGCTGCCGGTGGCGGTACCCGAAACACAAATACCATTGGCTAAAGCCCGATGTTTATCAAAATATTGGGAAACTATAACAATGCCGGGAGTGGTGGAGAGACCGCCACCTATGCCGGTGAGTATGCCAAAGGTAAAGAGTAAATGTACCAGACTGGTGGCAAAGTAACTAAGACACATGCCGAGAGCACAGAAAAGACCACCTATAAAGACGACTGTACGACAAGAGAAGCGCTGACACAGAGCACTTGAGAGCGGAGCCAAAGCCAAACACAAAGCCGATAGTATTGCAGGTATCCAAGAGGCCACAGTGGCTGTAGAACTGGGAAATGTTTCCATGATTTCAACATATAAAACGCCATAGGATTTGACCAAACCCGCTACCCAAAATTGTACCGAAAATGCTCCGAATACAATAAACCAACCATAGCCGCCATCTGGCGGATCAGTGCTGATTGAAGAACGTGATGATGGCGGATGACCAGAACTGGCCCTCGAATCCGTATTACTGGGTATATTCGAGATGCCAGCGGGCAATTTATGACCACCTTTGCCACGTTTCCGTTTACCGGCACTGCTGCATAAATTACGACTCGAGCGTAATTCACGGGATTTGGCAATTAAGGGCCGTGCCGTAATACTCGAGACCGTTAATAGGTTTTCATTGTCATCTTCTTCAATTTCCGATATCTGATGTTCCAGCAGGCTGGCGTGCAACGTGCGACTCGCTGGCGCCGGACAATAGGGTTGATCGATGGGTAAGCTGGCCGGGCGCCGGGGTATGGTAGACGTGGCCGAACCCGGGGCCGAGGCGGCCACATCAGCGATTGAAACATTCGAGTGAGCGGTAATGAAAGGGTTCTGTGCACTGCCGCCCATTTGTAGACCATATCCAATTCCCGGCTGTAGACCCGCACCCAACGTATCCATTTGCTTGACATCCAACTCGGCCAACGG